CTCTAACTGTAGAATGGGATTGTTCAGTACAGCGCCCAACTCAGAACCTCTCGGTTCGAGTCCCGGTCAGGTCATTAACCTTTTGTCCCTTCGAGGTTAATAACTGAGTACCATTCTGTGCGAAGGAAACGTGAGATTATAGACTATGCGTCACATAGTTGCTGCCGATTCTGCCCTTAAAAAATAATGCACTTCTGGCTGGTGGCATGAAAATGGAGAGTAGCACCCCCACCATTCAATTCATGAAAAGAAGGGCGCCAGAAACGGTCTGATCATAAAAGTTTAAAGAAGACCCATATTCCAACAGTTACAAATTTCCGTTTCCTTTCTGCCAAAGGCGACCTTACCTCGACAATAACACATTGCTAATGATCAGTGCTACGTTCCATTCATAAGGACGAGATTGTACAATATTATTATACCGGATTTTCAAAATCTTGAGCATTCAAATGTCGCACAGAATGTTTCCTCTCTATTTCCAAAGATCAATGATCACGTAATGTCCAGTTCTACTGTTAATATTTTCCACTAACCACCCTGCCCTGCTCAAATTGCAGATGCCATACCGAAAATGTTTCACTGTGCGTTTATCAGGGATTAATATAGGGAATCCGTCAATCCTTCCAATAACAACTAACTACAAAACAACTGAAACTTCCTCGTTGATTACAGTAATATCTACTGCTATCAAGTTCACTATCAAGCTATCAATTGTGACAGACGAACTTTCAGTAGAGCCAAGCTGAGTATTTGGTTCAGTAGTTTATCGTTACTTTGTAAACGCTGTTAAAATATGGTTTATTCACACAACGCGAAATAATGTCTATTGAGGTGACAGTGCGGATGAAGTCTTTTTCACATTCCTTCTGTAAGTTAGCTCAAAATATTTCTTCTGAAATATTGGCGTTACTCTTACATCGCCAAGTTTCATACTGGATCCGCAAATCGTTCTTTAACGTCTGATATACATCATGTCTTTAAATGAACATCGGGTATTATAAGGGTACTCTGACTCTGACGCCAGGCTCTAAAGAAAGCGTCTACTGTACGTATTTACCTAAAAAAAATGTCAGACGTGGTGTCGCCTACCATAGGATAGAAGATAAAGTCAGAGTACCACCAGATAGTAGAAAATAATTCAAAGTCTCGAAGGACAACCTTTTGGTTGAGGCCTGTCCCCTGAAGATAAGGTATCATTTTTCATTAATCGTGTTCAGGTAAACAATGGTAATGGACATATTTATCGTTAGGTTCAAGATTTGACTATCTTGTTTCTGAGGCTACCATCAAAAGCGCAGTACGAACAGTGAAGCATAAGAAATAGTTTTCGTCACCTTGGACAACAGAGCAACGATCGGGAAGAGCTTTTGGTCGATGTCCCGCGGAGGTGGTGGGTTCCTCAACAGGTTTGAGAACAACTTGCGCATGTGCATGATGGCCAGGATGCGGTCGCTTGGTAGCGCCGAGGAGTCCCATGATCCACTGCCGCCGCTCGACGATGCGCCGTTCTCTTCGACCACTTCCTCTGCCTCAGACGAACATTTATCACGGTCGTTGGTCGACGACAGACGCGAACTTATCTTGCGGACAATATTCATGGCAAGGTAGTATTACCTTAAATGAAAAGGCGGATCATATTCCATGTGCAGCTGCATATTTTAGACCGTAGGGTCAATCATCCTAAAACATACGAAAAACTGTCACTTCAATAAAGATTCAATGAGCCTGAATATACTACCGAAAAGCCTCAATCAAGGCATATGCATATAGAATAGTACAGCTAATCGTTTATGCTGTCTGAATTCCTGTCGATACGCAACACTTTTATCCCTGATCATACAGCTGTCTGTAAGAATAATCAACTATAACTGTCTGCACCAGCAGAACGTAGAGAGTTTATGGTTTCCGTCACATTCTCAGTTTTTCAACACCTCATCTATAACAGTGGTTACACCGTCGTAGGAAGAGCGATTTATTTCTTAAAGCATGCCTTCATCTTCTTCACCTCTGTTGCATGGTAGCTTTCTGCATGCCATCTGCAACATTTCGGTCTCCATATGAAAAGCTCGCAAGACTTTATACTCGAAAAACTCCGTAACAGTGCCAAACCTAATCTCTTTATCAAAATCTCAACATCCAATCAGGAAACTTATGGTATTATGTAGTGATTCATTACGTGATATTCATATTTAAATATCAATATTTAATTCTGTTGCAAGTAGAAGCGCTACTGCAAGCTATGCAACGATAATCCTTGATCCTCCGTTACAGCGACAGTTTCCATGCCCAACAGCAACAATGACCTGACTGAAGCGGGGTTCAAACGAATTTTTGTGGAAAGGGACATCCATCCGTCAGTCGAAGTATTGGACAGGTTACCAAAAGTATTAAAATTAAGGGAGGTTATCCGATTTAACTCTGACTGGATGAAAGCCTTGGCTGAGAACGACAGATGAGTGCAAAGATTAGTAAAGCATGGCGATCAGCCTAGGTGCTGTGCAGATTAAGGGGGTTGTGTGCAGGTTCTGAAGTGCTAAAATATTTTTATCAAATCCTGCATTCTACTGATCACCTTTTACGCTGGACCGTCCTATTTTGCAGTCTCGGAAGAAAACAACTGGCTCGCATCCCTAGTCTATAGAAACTATTTTGCAAACTCTGTGACAATGGCGCTGACGAGCTTGGGTGCATCCTAACTAGATGCATGATAAACACAACAGTTGCTCTGAAAAGGTCTACTCTAGATGACCCACCTTGCAGGTTGTACCTGTATTTCTAACAGTGCCTTTCGAAGCATCTAAACGCAAGGTCCGTGTATGTTCCTTGCAAACGTAGGACTAAGGCCCACGGAAGGTCAGTCATTACGTTTGCTGTCCAATGTCTAATTGACCCCAAGGAAAATGGTCTCTCATTTTCGAACAGATTCTACTCAGCCTGATACGGATTCATTTTTATTTCTGGTTTTATTGCTTAGTACTTGTTAACTGTTATAATCAGGGTTTTGTCGTGTGCCTTAAGGTTCATCTGAGATAAGTTTCGTTAAATGAATGGTATCTTCGTCAGAGAGGACGGAATTTGCGCATTGATACTGACTGACTTTCTAAACTCGTTCACTACTCCACTGCACTCGGGAACTTGTTGTGTTCTTCATAACGACTGTTCTGAATTTCAAGGAAGAGCTGAACTTTTGCCGCTAACTTTACACAGGAATACTACAAACTGGCAAATTAAGCTTCCTGTACTGTTCATCAGGGCATTTTCACCTACGCACTCCAGATCAGCAAGATATCTAAGATATCTTGAACTATGCCCCTTCTACAATGAGACCTTCGTTTTAGCCAAGATGGGCCTGTTTCGAAGGAGAAAATAAAACACTATGTTAATTCACATAACGGCAACTAAATCTCCCTCAGAAGTTTACAGGAAGGCGAGTAGGAAAGAAATTCAAAAAACTGCAGACTTCAACAATACAATATGCTTCCTTAACAACCAAAATATAACGGCTGTACCTCGCGATCGACTTTCGTCCTTAGACAAATTCATGTGGTTTTCATCACTGGCTTGCGGCAGCAAAGGAACGTATCACGAGTGGTTCTCCATAGTCATTGTTTCTGTTACTAAAAATTTACTCATGCGAATCTTTTATACATGTCTGATATAACAGTTGCTCATTCGATTTCGTAGATAAAGCGCGACTTAGCAGCTTTAAGACACCAAGCAGAGCTGAACCACAAAAAGGCTTTTAAATAAGAATAAAACACTGTAAGAAGGTAATCCACTGATGTTCATTAAATCAATCTTCTCCTCTTCGAAACATAATGTATCCAGAAATCCTGCTTATGCTGCAATAAGATATGGCATTTGTGAAATATTTTGCCATCAGCCGTTTGTATATTCCAAATGTCCCCGGTTTGTGATATTCGCTGTACTGGCAACTCTCTCAACACTTGCCACGAAGTACCGGCTACTGAATCGCAGAAGGAGCAATTCCTTTCCGAAAGCAGATCTGCCACCATCTTGTTCGTTCATGTTGCATGTTGGTCTCCTGATCAACGTCAACCTTGTTACAGCTCTCATGCGAGAAGATCATGGGCTGGATGAATCGGTTTCTGCTCAACTAGTTTCCCTAGCATGGGCAACATCCTTTCAATCACCCCATCTACTGAATCATCTGTCCTCTGAAGAGAACAGTCATTCCTTATGTTTCTACCACTATGCCAGTATTTACCGGCACCACGGATCTGCCTCTACCATATTGCACGTTTACCTTCTAGTTGTCCATAGTGTTCTGTTTCCCACACAACAGAATGTACTAAGACAACTGTGCCGCTGCAACTGTTACAGATTTCGATATAACACATTTGATTCTGGGCCCCCTGCAGAAATTGCAGATGCTTTGCTGATTCACTGTTGAGGGCATGTAACAACATAAGTGTTTAAACTCCTATTACCAACGCATTTTGCGACATACTCCGTAGCATAGTAGGATAGAACTTATTATCAGGCAGCTAGCCGCTTTATAAAAAAAACCTCGTTACCTTGGTTTAACAAGAGGGGCAGACTGACACTATATTTTAATCTCATATTTATAACTTTAAATTTTA